CTTTATGTCCATGTGTGTGCACGTTACTGATGTTGCTACTTTATATTTATAATTCAATTATAAATGGTTATAGAGATGGTTATAGAAAATCCCATTTGAGTCATTCTGTATGAGTTAAATGATTCAATTGATCAAGTGCTGCTATTGCTGTGTTAATGAGATTTTCTTATGATTAAGTGTTGGTAAATCCTTCGGACTTAATCCATTGATCCAATCTGAGGCTAAATTTAGCAAGGGGATCCTCTCTGTGCCTGGTGACTCAGCTTGGGTGTCCCTCACCCCCTTGCTTTCCTGACTTTTTCCTCCCTTCCTTTTTCTCTCCCCATTTCCACCTAATTCATTGTAGACTGCTTTTAATCCTTTTTCTTGGTGTGATTTATCTACACTATAAGAAACAGAGAGACAAAATTACATCAAACCTGCTTTTGCCAGCAATTCAGCCCCAAACCCCTCGTTCACCACAGCCTCAGGGAAAAGGCAACAATTCCAGAGGCTCCCTTACTCGGAAGCCACAATTAAAACTATTTTAAAAGAAAACAAACATTTCTCATCGAAATTCCTGCCTGGCTCTCGTTGTGGGCCAAGGCTGCTCAGCACCAGCAGCTTCCTGAGCTGCCTCTGGGCAAACCCACCATGCTGGGCTCTCGGTCCTGGCTGCAGCTGGGAAAATGGACATTTTCCTGTGGAAATTCAGGAAGGCTGGAGCAGCACTGCCCTGCTGCCTTGGGTTCCTAGGGCCCAGTCAGCTCATGGATTTGGTGTTTATGGTGCAAAGCTGGTGCCTGAGCTGCTCCCATCACACGGGCACTGCAGCAGTTTTGGGGGACACCATGCCACATCCTGCACCACTGGCACCTGGGGGTGGCTTCCAGAGGGGAATGGAGGTGCTGCTGGTGTTGTGGTTGGAATTATTGGGGTTTGGGGGTGTGGGGTGCAATGAGGTATGGGGGATGGACTGTCCCACGTGGGAAGAACACCAGTGTCCTCACTGGGCCTTGCCATGGGGCTGGGAATGGTGGCGTGGCCAATGTCACCCTCCTTCCTTGCAACTGGGTCACCCCTTCATAGTTTTCCACAGTTTTCCACAGTTTTTCACAGGTTTTCTCCACTCCTGTGGTTCTTCACTGGTTCTGTCCCAAAGCCCTCCCTGGTCACCAACACCTGCCCTGGGACACTCCACAAACCCAGCCCTGGGATGCTGGAGCAGAACCCACCCCATGGGACAGAGATTTTGGGGTGCTGAGTGAGCCCAGGGCTTTGTTCAATAATGCTTAAAATGTTTTGAGAACCTTGGAGTAAAAATCTGACTGAAGTGTTCTACAAACTGCACTAAACTGAACCCAAAAAACAGGCAAAAAATGGACGTTAACTACTAAATAAACCTTCAGTGTGGTGCCTCCAGAGTGTCTGACATGGAAAAGGCTGGAAGGTTCTAGGAATCCTCCCCAGTCCAGCACCAGGACGGGGATGGGCGTTTTATGTGTGCACAAATCCAAAATGTACCAAGGGATGGTTCCCACCTCCTCCCTGAGGTAAAAATCCAAACTCACAGCCAGGAAATTGCTGCACCAGAGGGTCTGGGAGCTGCACTGCAGGAATTCCCAGGACATGGGCACAAATCAGGGCAGGTGCAGGAGAGAGAGGAGAAGGAGAAGGTTCTGAAGAAATTCTCCACTGGGGTCTTCCATGAAGGTTCTCAGTGACAGCTCTTCTGCTGAACTGGGCAGAAGCAGGGGTTTATATAGAGTACAGGGGTTTTAGGAATTGCCCAATAGTAAGGGTCAAGGAAAAGTGACCTATAGTCTTACAGAGAGATAAACAAGGGTCTGAAGGCAATAGAGGGGTTTCTAAGAGGGGTTTCTAAGGCCCAGCCATCATGACTTGGCATTTCCTATCTTAGGCCGCTGAACGCCAAGGAGCCATTGCAGGCTCTGGGCCTGCTACAGATCAGCGTGAAGAGCAGAAAATAAGGGGCTGGTGTGAGCTGCTGCTGCCTAAACAACCACATTTAGCACAAAAAGCACCACGGAGACCTGGGAACAGGGCCTGAGCAGGGCAGGAGGACACTGAGATGTGTCCTGTGCCTGCAGCAGCCACTCTTCATCCCTGCACGTGTCTGTGCTGCAGCAAGGACGATTGTCCCCTCGTTTCCCTTGGCCTCCGGCGCGGCAGCGTTGGCTTTCACAGGGCTGGATCCGCTCCGCAGCCGGGCAGAGCGTGGGAGGAGGGTGCCGATCCCGCTTAGGAAACACAAAACAATAAAAGAGGAACAATGGAGCTTCCTTCCCGTCACCCCAAATACCAAACGCCACCAGAACGTGGCTCGGCTCCGAGCAGCGCTGCCGGGGCTGCTGCTGTGTCCTCTGACCCCAGGGAGGAACTGCAGACACCTCCTCCTCTTCCTCGCCCTGGCAAGGGATGCTGAGGGAGGGTGGGTGCCAAGGAGCGTCGCCAAAGGGCTGCCCTGACCCGGCGCTGCTGCCAGAGGCATTCCCAGCTTTGGAAACTGCGTTTGGGCCAGGGCAGGGGGGTGCAGCGTGGCCCTGCCTTGAGAGAGGATTTTGTTGGCTGCCTGCGCTTCCAGGGTAGCCAAACACGTGTTGCAGCCGGCCCAGGGGCCCAGGAGGGGTTATAAAAACATCCAGGTACCCAAACTCGACAGATCAGCCAGAGAACATGTTCCCATGGGTTTGGTGCCTGTGCGGTGCCAGGCACGGGGAGATGCTTGGCCAGCTCAGCCACAGCTGGGCATCTGGGGGGAGCTGGATCCACACCTGAGTGGAACCCACAGCCCGGCTATCCCACAGCTGCATGTGGCAGGTGCTTGGGACACAGGGCCAGAGCCCCCTGAGGGGCTGGTACCCGCCTGTCCCTGCTGGCTCCACCCTCACCCTGTGCTTGGGGCCACCGGCGCAGTGCCAGCCCTGCCAACAAGCCCCATCCCCAGTGCACGAGCCCTTGTGGCTGAAACACCCTCTGCACGGCCTCAGCGAGTGCCCAGCAGCCTGGCCAAGCACATCTGGCTGAAAGCTGTGGGAGCTGCCCCGGCAATGAGGACACCAGCCCGGAAACGCTCCTTTCCCAGAGAGATTCTCTTGTCCCATCCAGAATCCTCTCCCGGCACCATCCCTGTCCCCTCAGCAAGTGCAGGATTGTGGGCTCTGGACAGTGCCCAGGGATGTCACCCGCCCTGTTTTGGGTGACATGAAGGGGCTAGGAGCTCTGCTTCCCACTGGAGAGTAGAGAAGGGAACACCTGCTTGTGGCTGGTGCAAGAATGGGGAGCAGGGCTGGGGCTGCCGCCAGCCAGGAGCAGCAGCCAGGTTGTCCAGTTTTCCAACACTGGCCAGGTTGTCCCCACACTGGGGACATGAACTGGTTTAAACCCTCACCCTGGAACCTGTGAGTCACACATTGACAGCTCCTGCCAGTGTGCTCCATCAGGGCACCAGCCAATGTCCCACTTTCCTGCAGGAGGGGGGACAAAGGCTGGAAAGCTCTTTCCACCTCTGAAGGCACTGCAGCAACCAAAGCTCTTGCATCCTGCTGCTGTGGGAGCTGGGATGTGGTTGGGACACGGTGCTGTGGCTGATGCCATCGTGGGGTGCCCAGGCTGGTGAGGGCACACGGGGCTGCATGGGGGCTCACCCCAGGCACCGGGGTCCCACAGCATCGCTCTCCAGCCAGAGAACCCCACCCCATGTCCCCTGCCCCCCCCTTGATTTGTTGCTATTGTCATCTCCAATATCACGCAGGGATGTGAGGCTGGAAGTCGCCTCTTTCCTGCCAGGTTAAATCGCTCCCTAGGAATGTCTATTATTCCCACAAGTCAACTTTCCCCTCTGCGGTATGTGTCAGGGGTCAGGGCTGGCACCACATGAAAGCCACGGGTATTCAATAACCCAGAGCCGTGGAAAGGCTTCAGTCCAAGCCCAGCCACGTTGGGGTTTATTGATGCAGATGCCTTTCCCCATTTGTTTCCTATAAACAGCACATGGTAATATTTAGTAGGTTTCAAACAGAGCTTTTTGCATATTCTGCCTTGTCTGCAGCGAGCTGCTCAGTAGTAGACAGTTTTAATTTAGTTAATGCAATTTCTGCTTTTTGTTCTTCCAGAAGGTCTGGGCTGGTTTTGACCCTGTCGCCCAGCAAATTACTTGAATTCCCAAGGGGCTGGGAGCAGGAGTCCAGGATCCACTCTCTGCAGGGGTGAGGACAAGGGATCTCACTCCCCCCAGACCCTCTGAGACACAGCCTCAGGAGGTGAGTGCATGTTGGGGCTGTTTGGGGCTGCCCTGGCTGGCTCCTGCTCCTGGCCAGGCTGGCAGCATGTGGTGCTTGCCAACTCCAGAGAAAAAAAAACCCACTTTATTGCAAAAGCTGCCACTTCCCCATCCCGGGGCTGGCAGGGGTCAGGGCACAGCCCTGGGCACCCAGTGCCAGGGATGGAGCGTGACTGCAGGGTGACCCTGGAGCAGGGAATGCCTGTGAGCACAGAGCAGAGATCCCACCAGAGCAGGGCTCCTGGGGAGCACTCACACAAGAAGGGGAAGCACAAACTGCTCCTGGAGAGCAGCCCTTGCTGTTCCTTGTCTCCACACTCCTGGCAGCAGTGCTACACAGCCAGTGCCAGCCATGGAGCAGCACCGAGCTGGCAGCAGAGGAGGCTCAGATGCCCCTCCAGGTGATTTTTTTGCCACTGTAAATGCCCACAGAGAGTTTTGGCTCTGCAGCAGCTGCCTCAGGCTGGCAGCAGAGTCCCAACCACTGAGCACACAGTGGATTCACAGACCCCACGCAGCCACACTGAGTGTCTGCCCCCAGTCCCTCTGCGTGTGGAATGCTGGGCAGGTTCCTCCAGGCAGCAGCTTCCAGGCCCACTGGCAGCCAGAAATTCTTGGGGCAGTGCTGCCATCACCCTGCCAGCCCTGGGCACCCTGTCACCACTGTCACCCTGCCAGCACCCGCCACCAGAACACAGGCAAGAGGAGACCAAAGAACTGACACCGTGATTCTTTTAATGCAATTGCTCCTAAAATGCAGCTTTAAAGTGACTTGGAATGGTCAACAATGAGAAATAAGGGATGGCTTTGAGCTCTGCAGTGTGACCATGTGGCACCTCTGCCACCAACATCCACCTGCCACCGCTGGGCCACTGCCATGCCTCTGACTGCTCTTACAGCCACTCACTGTCCCTTCACAGGGCACGTGTCACACGGGGCATCCAAAGGGACTCTCTGGGGCAAAAAAGGGACAGGGTGAGCCATCCAGTGCCAGATGACCCAACACTCCCCCAGAAAAGCCAAAAAAGAGCAGCACAAGCAGTGGGTTGCTCCCTCTCACTTCACATTCAGGCACCAACCAACACAAATTCTGGAGCTCACAAAGACCTCGAGGGGCTGTGCCTTCATGCTACGTAAAGTGACTTGGGAACCCAATGCTTGACTGTGTTCTCTAGCTCTGGGTGGCAGAGGAAGCTGATGCTCCAATCTTTGCTTTTTGTTATCTAATAATTCTTTATGTATTTATTTTTGAGAGCAGCAAGTGCCACAGGTCAAGTAACTGGGAAATTCTACTGTAGCCTGAACACCAGTGAGAGAACAAACCCTGGCACTGCCTTCACACCTTGCAGCCTTGACATCCCCAACAGCAGAACAGAGCCTGAAATGTCTTTAACACCTCCCAGGCCTCAGCCTGAGTTTGGTCCTCACTCCAAGACTCCCCCTGCAGCCCTGTGCCCACTCTGGAGCACCGATGCCATTTTACCCATTCTTTCTCCATGTAAAATAGTTCCTACTGCTCCACTGGAGTTTGACCTCCTCCCCTCCCGAGGTGAGGCTTCTGGGGGAAGGACAATGGAAAGGCCAAGAGGCTCCCAGATTTCTGAGGTGCCAGGGCCCCGTGAGCAGAGCAGCCCCTGCCCTGGTGCCAGCAGCTCTCCCCAGCCACGCCTTTGGATCAAGCCCGCATTCACCAGTGACTTCAGAATCAAGTGCAGGAAGCCAGTTTGATCTACAGAAACACTACACACATCTCCAAATGGATTTTAAACACCTCGTTTAAGGAAGGACAGGGTTTAGCAGGGAATCAGTGGGCTCTTGTAGCTTGGTCTCCAATTCTGGCCCTCTGACACCGATGCAGATGTGAAGAGACCGGAGCTCTCCTGGAGTCTGAGCAGTTGTTCTCACACAGCCCAGGTCATAATTGGAAACTGAGCTTAGGAAGCCCCCAGGGGCAGGGAAAAGGACATCACCTGATGAAAAAGCTTCAGAATGAACCTGGGAAATAAACAGCAACCAGACAATCATCTTCTACAGAGGATGGAAGTGAGAGTAGAAGAAAATAACATCTGAGACAGTCAATGAGTCAGTCTGAATGTGCAGGGGCAGGAGATCCCTATGGATCTGTGAGGAAAGCTAATGGCCAAACCCAGCTGGTCCCTCCAGTCCCCAGGGAGACGGGGCTGTGGTTCACTCTTCCCCAGCTGGAAGGTTGTCTTCAATCCTCCTGATAAATTTCATCCGTATTTCTGTGACGCTGTCACCCTTCAGGGTGTCCTGGACAAACTTCACATCGACAGCCATCTGCACCTAAGTGAGGGAAGAGCAGAGAGCAGCTGGTAACTCCCTCTTCACAGCAGCTTCTCCAGGGACTGAATGATCATGGAGCACCAGCTTAAGGGTTCTAAGGGCATGACATGACATACAGGGCTCTACATAGTCCTAAATTTGAGACACAGCTGTTCTCCTGTCCCAGCCAATTCCCAGCTAGGGCTCACAGCAGTTGCAGAGTGAGGATTTTGGAATTTCATACAAACTCAGGGAGATGTGCTTGAAATTGGGTCGTGAGCTGAAGGGGCTCAGGCACCACTCTAGGCCTCAGCTGCCACACATGACAGCAGCCAAGTGCTCCTGCAGCTCTGCCCTTCTCCTGGGAATGTGTTTCAAGCCCAAAACAAACCCAGAAGTCACGAACACAGACCAGAATTCAACTATCTGCTGACTCCTGGCTGTCCATACACCCATCCCAAGGGAAGGGAGATGTGGCTCACCATTTCCAGGGCACCTCGCAGCACCCCACAGAGCAGGTTGGAGTAGATGAGGGTTGAGTGGTTGTCAGGGAGCTCCACAAAGTCCACCAAGGGGTTGTTTTCCAAGATCAGGGAGAACTCATCACCCCCTTGGGTCGTGAGCTGAAGGGGCTGAGGCACCACTCAGCTGCCACACATGACAGCAGCCAAGTGCTCCTGCAGCTCTGTCCTTCTCCTGGGAATGTGTTTCAAGCCCAAAACAAACCCAGAAGTCACGAACACAGACCAGAATTCAACTATCTGCTGACTCCTGGCTGTCCATACACCCATCCCAAGGGAAGGGAGATGTGGCTCACCATTTCCAGGGCACCTCGCAGCACCCCACAGAGCAGGTTGGAGTAGATGAGGGTTGAGTGGTTGTCAGGGAGCTCCACAAAGTCCACCAAGGGGTTGTTTTCCAAGATCAGGGAGAACTCATCACCCCCAGGACTCCAGTTGGTGATGCTTGGAGTGATGCCCAGGTACATTTTAAATGCAATCTGTTGTGGCAAACAGGAGGAGCAAGAACAGGTGAGGCAACAGCACAGCTTTGATCTTTGTAAAATTACTCAAGGGGTTTTCAAACATCTCTCCTTTCCTCCAGTTCTCACCAGCCAGCAGTACCTGGGCTAAAGTTTTTTTTTTTCCCTCCCCAAAATCTTCATTAAACTCTCAGAACAGTGCTGTAAGTAGTAAATATTCCATCCTCACATGCAAATCCCCCCCAAAAAACCTGACAAAGCAGTTCTTGGACATTTACCTTTGCTATAACATCTGCAGTTTCACGGAAATCGTGGCACCTCCCAACATTGGAACGGGCCAGGAAGTCCTCGATGAGCCGGACACCGATGTTGTAACCCCTGTGAAGGGACCAGAGCAACAGCTTCAGAAAGACAACAATATTTATAAAAGAGGAGAGTGAAGAAGCCAAGTCTAATCTGAGAAATGTTAGTGTTAAGTAACTTCAGCCTGCCAGGCTTTTGCTCCTGGAGCAGCGCAGAGGGATGTGGCTGTGATCCCTGCTGTCATCCTGGTGCCTGGTGAAGGCTGAGCTAGAACAGAGGCTGGACAGAGTTAAAGAATAAAGTAGGGATTTATTAGGAGGCCTCAATGGATTCACCTTGGGCAGCACAAGAGCCCAGCCAGGGCTACACCCAAGATGAACCAAAATGGTCACAAAAAAACAGACGACTGGTCATGAGGCCTGTCACTTTTATAAGTTCTGCTCCATTTGCATATTGGAGTAAATTGTCCAATTACAGCTTTAGCTTATGAAGCCCCATCCTTCTTATTTTTCTCTCTTCAGTCCATGTTGGTTATGCTCTTGGGCCTGAGATTTGGATCAGCTGTCCTTGGTCCCAAGCAAGGAAAGGAATTGTTTTGTCTACCTGTCTACCTGTCTGTCTGTCTCTGTGAAGAGAGCTTACCAACACTTAATATGAAGCTCAGAACCACGCACTAAAGCAGCACAGAATCTGAAAAATATAAAAGCTAAACCTGAGGCACCAATCCCTGCTGTGATCCCTGCTGTGATCCCTGCTCCCACACAGCTCCAGCAGGGCGGATCCACTCCCACCTGTGCATGCACTCACATTTTGTCCAGCTGCTTGTTGACATCGTCGTCATTCTCGTAGTCCTTGCAGAGCTGGGTCACCAGGGCACCGTAGGTCAGCGTGAACAGCTCTGAGTTCTGCACACAGGAAAAGAAAATTCACCCAACAGAACCTGCCTGGGCTCCGCTGCCGCCGAGTCCAGCGCCGCCACCCTGGGCACGGAGAGGGGAACAGGGACCTGCTGCCTCAAAGGAACCTGGTGCTTAATGAGGAGAGATCCCAGCTCCAGTTTCATAAGGAGAGATCCCAGCTCCAGTTTCATAAGGAGAGATCCCAGCTCCAGTTTCATAAGGAGAGATCCCAGCTCCAGTTTCATAAGGAGAGATCCCAGCTCCAGTTTCATAAGGAGAGATCCCAGCTCCAGTTTCATAAGGAGAGATCCCAGCTCTAGTTTAATAAAGAGAGATCCCAGCTCCAGCTCTGGCAACAACTTCATTCTCCTTGGAATGAGGCTTGGAGGAACCTGGTCTACTAGAAGGTGCCCCTGCCCTTGGAAGGGGGTGGAACTGGATGAGTTTTAAGATCCCTTTCAACCCAAACTATTCTGGGACTTTGGTGTTTTTGGAATACCTCCTGGATAGCTGGAGGTGCCATGCCAGGGCCCTGAATTTACCTCAAGCACTGGCCTAGAGCTGAGATCTGACTCAAACTCTTCCCTGTTTCATGTTACAAGTAGGCAGTGACTGCTAGGGTCCAGCTCTGGTCCTTCCAACAGGCCCAAAATGCTCCTCCACTCAGGGATTTATGACATTCTGTACCAAGAAAAAGGACTCATCTGGTCCTAGAAAGTTGTCCAGGCACAGAATTTGCTTCAGAGACTGAAATCAGCTCCTCAGACCCAGAACAGGCTCAGGGAGGCCAAGCCCAGGCCAGCTCAGCACTCAGGTGCTGTGCACATCTACTCTGGGACTGGCCAGGACCAAAGTCACTCATGTTTTCCTTGCACAATTCTCAGATTTGCAGAAAATTTGCAAAAAAAGGGAAAAATTATCCTCTCCCAGCCACCACCTTCAATCCTCACCCTCAAATGATGTCAAAGAGCATTTTTTGGGAGCCATTAAGCCAGGCCAGTGATTAAGGAGGTCATTACAGGCTGCAGAACAAAACTCTGCAAAAGGAAGTGTTTTGGGGAACAAACAAACCCCCAGCACTGGTTTCTGCTGTCAGTTTTGGCATGCAGAGGGATCACAGGGGCTGACCTGGGATCTGTCACCTACCATGAGCTGCAGAGAGGCAGAAGGTGAAATGAATGGCAAATACCAATACTAGAGAATGAAAGCAGCAGCAGGCAGGGAGGGAAAAGAGACAAGATCAGAGTTAAGTGACAACACAGATCACCATAAGTTCACACAAAGCCACAACAAACACACAGAGGAAACACCCCCAAATAGGAATTGGGTTTGTAGAGGACACAGGGAATTCCACCTTGTCTTGTTCCTGGATTAGGAAAAAATTCTTTCTTGGGAGGGTGGGGAGGCCCTGGGACAGGGTGCCCAGAGAAGCTGTAACTGTCCCTGAGTCACTGGAAGTGTCCAAGGCCAGGCTGGACAGGGCTTGGAGCAGCCTGGGACACTGCAAGGGGTCCCTGCCATGGCAGGGGGTGGAATGGGATGAACTTTAAGGCTCCTTCCAATCCAAACCATTCTGGGATTCTGGGATTGCCATTCACAAGGACAAAAGGCTTCAGGTATGAAAACAACCAGAGGAGCTATTGCTACACTTTGGATCTAAAGAACTGACACCTTCTTTGGGCATTTTATTTAAAAATTTGCTTTCTTCTTGGAAAACTAAGGGTTGGGCAATTCACGTCACAGGAAGGACAAGGGGGAAGTTCCTTTGGCTCAGCTGGGATCAGAGACTTGGCAGAGAATTTAACAGGCATGCAGAACAGGTAGTGTTGGTTTTAAGGGTTTCAGTTTTAGTAAAGACAGAGGTGGAGAGGGGATGGATGGAGGGAATCCAGCTGTCCCCAGCCTGAGGTGCTGTCACCGTGTGAGGCCATGGCAGTGTCACCTGCCCCCATCGGCCCCAGCACACCCAGAGCTGATCTCACTTTTTGCTGAGATGTTATTAAAGGAAACTTGAGCTGTTACAAACTCCTAAATTCAGATTAGGACAATTTTTTTTTTTTCGTTTTCGGCCCCTTTGATGTAATTGAAGTGCCCAAAGCTTTCCCAGTATTTTAATTATTTGACACTGCACAGCAGTGTACAATCTCCACACAATGCGTCTGTTCTACGGCCACGGAAGTGTCAGAACTCCAGTGAATTAACACAATTCTTTACATTGTATTTAAGGAGCTGAATCCCTAGAAAACAATCCCCTGGGGCGCGAAGAGGCAGGAGGGGGCAGCTAAGCCCGACCCAACCCCTCCTCACGGCCAAAGAGGGAGAAGACCCCAGGTTTTATTTTTTATTACTTATGTTGCATTAAAAATTAACGAATTCGACCTGGTTTGACTCAGAATTCGAGCTCAGCTCTGGAGCTTGGGGCTCCATCTCTCAGTTCCTGACTCAGCCGGGCTGATAACGCGGAATGAGCAGGAGAGGGGAAGGGAGACACGCCAGGGAAGCGTTCTGGGTGCGAACTTCCCCTCAACGGGAGCGCCCGGTGCCGCTGCTGGCTGCCCGGCCCCGCCGCACCGGGCGCTGCGGGCCAGGCCCGATCATCCCCGCCGCGGGCCGGTTCCCCGGGTGCCCCACGCCATGCTCTCGCCACGCCGGCCCCGCCGTTACCATTTTCTTGCTCTCGGTGCCGCGCCCGCCCTGCCGCGACATCGTGTCCGCCCGGCCCGGCCCGGCCCGGCCGCTCCGTCCGCCGCGGCACCAAGGGATCCGCGGGACACCGCGGGGCACCACGGGACACGCAGTCCCCGCCGCGCCGCCGTCCGCGCCCCGCCCGCCCGGCTGGACTACAAATCCCAGAGTGCATCGCGCGCCAACAGCCTGAGGGTGTGTTGTGTCACTTGACAGCGAGGCACCGCCCAATCTTGGCGCGTGTGGGGGGGGGGGGGGCGGCCCCGCCGCTCCCGCTGCCCCCGGCCGCCAGCCTGCGGCCCCTGCCCGGCCGGTGACGGCATGGTGGCCCCGCTGTGCTCCCTACGTGCTGCCGGCTTCCTGCAGGCCTCCCCGCGGCCCCCCAGCCCCATGGGAAAGGGGCCTTTGCCTGGGCTGCACTCCTGCTCCCACCTTGGTCCCACACTGCCGCTTTGGAATAGGAGTAGAATGGTGGAATATCCCCAGCTGGAAGGGACCCACAAGGATCGAGGCCAACTCCTGGCCCTGCACAGGACACCCCAACAGTCCCACTGTATTCCTGAGAGCATTGTATGAACGCTCCTTGAGCTCTGCCAGGGCCAGGCCCTGCGCAGCCTGTTCATGTGCCTTCCTTGCCCGGCTCCAGGGGCTCAGCAGGGGCTGATTCCTGGGGAAAGCGCAGCTGGGTGGATGAAGCAAGCCCTGTGCTGGCAAGATTGGGCAAGCTCGGATCCTTAGGCTGCAGCTCAGTGTGGAACACAAGCAGGTTTTCACCTGTGAGGCCCACAAATCGCCCCACAGGAACAGGGTAAAGGACAGGGTGTCACAGAAACCAGCCTGGCTTGGGGCTGCTGGAACTGCAAGGAATATTCCCTGGAACAACCCAGCTTCCCCTAACCCTCCCCAAGCCAGCATGGTCCCCGGTGCAGCAGGTTCTGCTCCCCGACAGAGTGTGCCTGGCATTGTTTACTTATTTATTTAACCTCATGTAGTTTATTTCTTTATCCCATTATGTCCCTGTCCTGAGTCTCCTGTCACTGAGGAGTGCTGAGCGCTGACCCAGCTGGGGCGGGGTGCTGGGGGCAGGACATGCTCTGGGCACAGGGGGAGCGCCCCACTCCTGCTGGCTGCTCAGGAATCCAGCAGCTGGCTCGCTGTCACCGCGAGCAGGAGCGTGGGGACCGGCCGGGCTGCGGTGACCTGCTGGCATTGCCTTACATGGCTGCGTCCCCAGGACACGGCCAGCTGCGAGGCACCGGGCCCGGCACTGGGGCGTGCTGTGGTTGTCCCGGGCTGGGGGGCTGCCAGCAGCACCTCCATTGTGCCAGTGAGCTGATGGCAGGTCTGTGCTCCCTGTCTCCTCTGTGCAATGCCAGGTCCCTTCCTGCTCCCAGTCCCAAATGCCACCTTGTGCTCTCCCATCACAGTGGCCCTAGTGTGCTGGTGGCCAATGGAGATCATTGAGTCCTAGAACACGAGTTGGAACAAACCCACAAGGACCATGAAGTCCAGCTCCTGGCCCTGCACAGACACCCCAGCAATCCCCCCCTGTGCCCGAGAGCGCTGTCCAAACGCTCCTGGAGCTCTGGCAGCCTTGGGGCCGTGCCCATTCCCTGGGGAGCCTGGGCAGTGCCCAGCACCCTCTGGGGGAAGAACATTTTCCTAACATCCAACGTAAGAAGGCACCGTGTCCCTGGTCACCGCAGAGGTCCCTGGCAGTGTCCCTCCGCGCCGAGCTGGGGGGCATGAGGGGCACACAGGGCACCCACGCTGGCATCTCAGTCCGTGCCGTGCCATAACGCCCAGTGAGCACAGGAGATCCTTCCCAGGCGGAGCCGTTACTGCTCCCCGGCCCCGGGCAGGGGCCGAGCCGGCCCCGCTGCAGCCGAGGGCACCGAGAGCCGGTCTGACGGCGCCGGGCGGCTCTGCCGGTTCCCGCCCGCACACGGGAGATGCTCCGGGAGACGGGCGGAACCAAAACGCCGCGATTTGTCCCCGCGGCGGGGCCGGGCTGCGCGGGGCTCGGGGCTCGCCGCCCCTCGCATACAGACCCCGATACACGGGGTGAACCTCGCAAACCGGCCCGGGGGGCGGCCGGGACCCGGCAAAGCCCCGTGCCCCCCTGACCCGTCCCGTCCTACCGCGCTCCGCCCCGTCCGGTGGGCGCAGGAACGCCTGCAGCGCGCTCCGCCCCGCCGCGCCCAGCGCGGGGGCTTGCTGCACCGGGGCTGGGCCGAGTCATGCCGTGCAAAACCCGGGAGCCGTGCCGAGCCATGTCGTGCAGATCCCTAGAGCCAGGCCTAGCCATGCCGTGCGGATCCCGGGAGCCGTGCCGAGCCATGCCGTGCAGATCCCTAGAGCCAGGCCTAGCCATGCCGTGCGGATCCCGGGAGCCGTGCCGAGCCATGCCGTGCAGATCCCGGGAGCCGGGCCGAGCCGTGCCGTGCGGATCCCGGGGCCCGAGCCGTGCCGTGCCGCGCGGGGCTCTCCCAGCAGCGGCGCTGGGGCTGCGGGTGCTGGTGCTGAGCGCGGCGCTGGGCGCGGGGGCGGTCCGGGCTCAGCCGCCTCCCTTCCCTTTCTGGGACCCCTCGCTGCCCTGGCAGCGCCGCCTCGATGACCTGCTGGGCCGGCTGAGCCCCGCCGAGCTGGTGCTGCAGGTGAGGGGGCGGCGGGACCCCCCCGGGGCCCCCGCGGGACTCCCCGCTCAGCGCCGCTGCCCTGCAGGTGGCGAGGGGGGGAGCGATGGGGAACGGCCCCGCGCCCCCCATCCCGCGGTTGGGCATCGCGCCCTACAACTGGAACACGGAGTGTCTGCGGGGCGACGGCGAGGCGCCTGGATGGGCCACGGCTTTCCCGCAGGCATTGGGGCTTGCCGCAGCCTTCAGGTACCAGCACCGGGGACCGGGGGTGTGGGATGGGACCTGGTGAGACAGGTCCCCCCTTGCCTATGCTGCCCTGACACCCCTGTGCTGTCCCTCTAGCCCAGAACTCATCTACCGTGTGGCCAACGCCACTGCCACTGAGGTGAGAGCCAAACACAACAGCTTTGCTGCTGCCGGCCGCTACAGTGACCACACCGGGCTCAGCTGCTTCAGCCCTGTCCTGAACATCATGAGACACCCGCTGTGGGGCAGGAACCAGGTGCCAGCTTGGGCGGGTGCTCCCTGGCTGGGATCGGGCCACAAAGGACCGTGGCTGACGAGCTGGATGTGGCCGTGACTTGCCAGGCTGTGGGGATGTGGGGACAGTGTTCCCAGGGGTGACTCACCTGTGCCCCGGACAGGAGACCTATGGGGAGGACCCGTTCCTGAGTGGGGAGCTGGCCCTCAGCTTTGTGCAGGGGCTGCAGGGCCAGCACCCCCGTTACGTTAAGGCCAGCGCTGGCTGCAAACACTTCAGCGTGCACGGTGGCCCTGAGAACATCCCTGTCTCCAGGCTAAGCTTTGATGCCAAGGTGAGCACAGCAGGGCAGGGGGTGTTAAGAGTGCAGGGGGCACTCCAGGTGCTGACCCCACTCTGCCGTGGTGCAGGTGCTGGAGCGGGACTGGCGCATGACCTTCCTGCCCCAGTTCCAGGCATGTGTGCGTGCTGGCTCCTACAGCTTCATGTGCAGCTACAACAGGTGTGGGGCGTGGTGAAGGCCACGTGGGCTGGGCTGCCCTTGGCATGGCCAGTGCCCTGCTCTCCTGGCTGCCCCATCCCCTCTCCAACAGGATCAATGGCGTTCCCGCTTGTGCCAACAAGAAGCTGCTGACGGACATCCTGCGTGGAGAGTGGGGCTTTGATGGCTACGTGGTGAGCGACGAGGGGGCTGTGGAGCTCATCATGCTAGGGCACCACTACACACACAGCTTCCTGGAGACAGCGGTTGGTGAGCTCACGGGCTGGGCATGGGGTCAGTCCCCAGGCATCGCACAGCCATGACAGGAGTTCTCCCTTCTCCCTGGCATGGCAGCCTCGGTGAATGCTGGCTGCAACCTGGAGCTCTCCTATGGCATGAGGAACAACGTCTTCATGCACATCCCTCAGGCTCTGGCCATGGGCAACATCACACTGCAGGTGAGCCGAGGGGAGTGAGACCAGGGATGTGGGCAGAGAGCCTGGGCTGTCCCTGCCAAGCACAGCTGAGATGTTGGGGTCGGGGTCTCCACAGATGCTGCGTGACCGAGTCCGGCCCCTCTTCTACACACGGATGCGGCTGGGGGAGTTTGACCCCCCAGCCATGAACCCCTACAGCTCCCTGGACCTGAGTGTGGTGCAGAGCCCTGAGCACCGCAACCTCTCCCTGGAAGCTGCTGTCAAGAGCTTTGTGCTGCTGAAAAATGTGCGGGGGACACTGCCCCTGCGGGCCCAGGATCTGCTCAGCCAGCACCTTGCGGTGAGCCCCTGCAAGGTGGTGGGCAGGGGGACATGCTGGCTCCACACCCAGGGCACACAGGTGTCACAGGGCTGCTGGTGCCCACCCTAACCCCTCTGCCCTCTGCAGGTCGTGGGTCCCTTTGCTGACAATCCCCGGGTACTGTTTGGGGACTATGCACCAGTGCCAGAGCCTCAGTACATCTACACTCCCCGGTGAGAAAGCGTGGTCCCACCCCATGTTCCCCTCTCCTGATCACTGTTCCCCTCTTCTGGGCACTGACCAGGGCTGCTGCTGGAGCTGCTCAGCCCTTGGCTGGTGGCCAGGCAAGGGGGCTGTCCCCATTGTGCCCCAACCCTGGGGCACAGCTGCCCCTGTGTCCTCTGCTCTTCCCTGGTGCAGGAGAGGGCTGGAGATGCTGGGGGCCAATGTCAGCTTCACAGCGGGCTGCAGAGAGCCACGGTGCAAGCAGTACTCACGGGCAGAGCTGGTGAGGGTGGTGGGGGCAGCTGATGTGGTGCTGGTCTGCCTGGGGACAGGTAAGTTGGAGTGGGAGGGCACTGGGTGGGCACTGCCAGAGGAAGGGGAGTGCTATGGGAGAGAGGGGCTGCCCATGAGCCACCTCTGAGGCGGTCGGTGCCCCTCTGCCCTGTCTGCCCACAGGGGTGTAAGGGCTCTCCCTTGGCTGTCCCCACCCAGGGGTAGATGTGGAGACAGAGGCAAAAGACCGGAGTGACCTGTCCCTGCCGGGGCACCAGCTGGAGCTGCTGCAGGATGCTGTGCAGGCAGGTAGGGGCTCTGTGGGACCTCAGCCCACCCAGGTGTTCCCCATCCATGGCACATCCCGGGGTGTGGCAGCCAGCAGTGCCACTACCAGCCTCTCAGTGACAGCCACCTCCCTGCAGCCGCTGGGCGCCCCGTCATTCTGCTGCTGTTCAACGCGGGGCCCCTGGACGTGAGCTGGGCTCAGGCACATGACGGCGTGGGGGCCATCCTGGCCTGCTTCTTCCCTGCCCAGGCCACGGGCTTGGCCATTGCCAGGGTCCTGCTGGGCGAGGCGGGGGCCAGCCCGGCTGGCCGGCTGCCGGCCACTTGGCCTGCAGGCATGCACCAGGTAAGGCCACGGCTGCTGGTTGCACCCTTAGCCTTTCTTTGCCTTGGTGGCTGAAGCAGCTGTGGGCTGCAGGGCTGTGGTTCTTGCCTGTGCCCGCCCAGCCCTGCCCTGTCCCACAGGTGCCACCGATGGAGAACTACACCATGGAGGGACGGACATACCGGTACTATGGGCAGGAGGCCCCGCTCTACCCTTTTGGCTACGGGCTGTCCTACACCACCTTCCGCTATCGGGACCTGGTGCTGAGCCCCCCAGTGCTGCCCGTCTGTGCCAACCTCTCTGTGTCTGTGGTGCTGGAGAACACAGGACTGCGGGACAGCGAGGAGGTGGGCACAGCTGCTCTGCACTGATCTGGCCGTGCAGGGTACAGATGTGCCCGATCTCCCCCTGCGAGGGGACTGCTGTGGAGCCCCATTGTGCTGAGTCCCATCCCTCCGTGCAGGTGGTGCAGCTGTACCTGCGCTGGGAGCAGTCCTCCGTGCCGGTGCCCCGCTGGCAGCTGGTGGCTTTCCACCGTGTGGCCGTGCTGGCCGGCCGAGAGGTCAAGCTGTCCTTCCAGGTGCTGGCCGAGCAGCGCGCGCTCTGGGCGCAGGACTGGCGCCTGGAGCCCGGCACCTTCACCCTCTTTGCTGGAGGGCAGCAGCCAGGCCAGAAGATGCGGGCACCCTCGGAGGTGCTGAGCGCACAGTTCAGTGTCACCGGCACTGCCCGGCCCTTACGCATGTGTTAGCAGCGAGGGTGGGCACAGGGTGCTGGCAGAGGAAGGGATGTGAGGTACCCCGCGAGGTACCCGTGTGCCGCGGGCAGTGTTGTGGTTCTCTGCCCTGCAATAAAGTGCTGGTGCTCCGTGGCAGCAGTGTGGGGCCTCCTCTCCATCCTCCCGGCACAGCGCTGGCATCTCCCCGGAGCAGGACCACACTGCTCTTCCTCTGCTCAGTGCTTTCAGCCTCCTCCCGTGGCTGTCCCACCCCGAGGCGCTGCTGCAGCCCCACACCCTGCCCGTGCCCCACACCGGACCCGCGTGTGCTGCGGCCACACGTGCCTGCGCCTCCCGCTCTATTTATAGCCGCAGGGCTGCTCCAGCGCATTCCCTGTGCCGAGGGAGCGGTGACTGGCAGCCCTGGGAGGCTCGGGAGGCCAGGGGGTGGCCCTTCTCCTTCCCAGGCAGGATCCAGGGAGCCGGCAGGATGCTGCAGGGAAGGGGGCAGTGGTTGGAGTTACCGAGCCCTGCGCTGGCCCGAGGGACAGATCCAACCCTGCAGCAGCTCGGGGGCTCTGGAACAGCGCTGGGATGTGATTCCGGCAGCAATGCTGGCGGGGAGCCGGGGCTGGGCAGGAACTCCTCCGGATGGTGTTGGAAGACTGTGATCTCCTCCAGCCCCGAGGCCGGAGGCCAAGGTGGGGGTGGCGGGGAGCGCGTGGGGCTGCCCAGGCCTGACCCCATGACATCAGGACACTAATTACAGATGCGGCTTGGGATAATTACAGAGCAGGCGCGAGCTGTGGCAGGGCAGGGCGCAGCCCGCTGTGGCTCAGCCCATTGCTGGCCCATTTGTCACTGGCACCCACAGGGGATTGTCCTGCAGCAGCCGGGATTTGCCATGGACTGTGGCATTGCCCCATGGCAGCATGCTGGGGGTCTGGTTGTTGCCCTGGCATGCTGCTGGTGATGGGTTCCTGTTGCATCCGTCCACCCCAGGACAGGACACAGGGACAGACACTCGTCCCCTGGATCCTGTTGGGTCACTTCCCCATGGCAAGAGGGAATCAGCTGGAGTGCTTTGGGGACAGGGTTTCAAATCAGCCCTTGTGGGCACTGTGTCACAGCAGCAGGGTGGGAGCAGCCTGGGGCCAGGGCAAAGTCCTGGAGCTGAGGAGAGAGGTGGGAGCAGAGGGATAGGGAGCAGGTGGAAATGGGTGGGATGGGGTGTCCCACACAGTACTTTGCTCAGAGGTGCTGGCAGGGTTTGTTTGTCATCCTTATCCCTGTTTGCTCCCAGACTTGCACAGTGTCAGCTCCTACTGGCAGGGCTGAGCTGTGGCTGTAGTTATCCTTTGACTTTGGGGTGCTGATCCCTTTGGGTCCCTACAGTCGGTGTCAGGGCCAGGTGTTGGGCCTGAGGGTGCAGCCCCCTGCCCAGACTGGCCTGACAGAGCCATGGCAGTGTTGCACCCCACGCTGCAGGGCTGAGGAGCACAGGGAGTGCTGGGGCATGCAGCAGCCAGGGCTGGGTGCCGTGCTCATCATGAGCTCATCGGATTTTCCATCAGCTCAGGGGGGGCAGCTGTTCCCAGCACCATGGGAATGGCGGGGCTGGACCCAGGAACCCCAACACAGCAGGGCTCTGCCTGCAGCAGAGTGATTGATCAATCCCTGCTTGTATAAGCCCATCGACTTGGGCTGGAATGGCATTCACAAGCCCTCTGATGTTGCACTGTTGGAGCATGGCCACAGGCCCTGTATGCCCACAGTTGCCCCTTCCTCACCTCAGTCAGCTCCAGACTGACCCCACTGTGGGGAGAAGGACCATGGACATGGCTGGATCCAGTGCCAGGCTGTCCCGGAGCCCTGAGATGCTCATCTGCTCCAGGTGAAGCTGTGGGACCCACAGGCAATTAAGGTTTGGAAGCCACTCATAGTCACCCTTGGAGCATGTCATGGAGTGGCTCCAGTCCCACTCTGCCAGATCCCTTGTGTGCCATGGAAATACAGAGCTGTGGGACTGCTGCAGCCCCTTGGAGGCTCAGCCATGCAACAGTGTCAGCGGGGCTGTTCCCCTTTCCTGTGCCAGGGCACATCCTGGCTTTGTGAGTTCATTGGGACATTGCTCTCCCTGCCCTTCTCATGGGGTGCCCAGCTCCCAGAGCTGAGGCTTGACCGTGCAGCATTCCCTGGTGGGGAGTCAGCTGGCAGGTGAGGCTCTGGGAGTTTCGGGAAGCCTCTGCTCTGTCTGAGCCAGGTGAGAGGGTGCAGGGCTTGAGGCTGTAGGAGGGTGATGACTTTCGGGTGATTTGGGGTGTAGGGCTACCCCTGCAGCATCACAGAGCGGGGCCGCCCCGTCTGCTGAGGAGCTCCTCATCCCTGACTCAGGGGAATGCACTTCCAAGGGAAAGGGCTGGGATTTCGGTAAACCTGTTTGCCTGGTAGGTGAGGGAGAATGAGTGGCAGGGGATCTCCTGGCCTGCGGTGACATCATCCCCAAAACAGGCATCTCTGATGGGTGCTGCCCGCAGAAAACTAACTTTGTTCATCCACAAAAATGCCCAGAGCCGGGCACTCTGCGGGATGCCTGGAGCAGGCTGGCCACGTGGTGGACAAGGACATGCCCCTGCCTCCTGCTGCCCCTGCAGAGCCTGGAGCCGTGTTACTTCCACTGCTGGTGCTGCCCACTCGTCCCCTTCCCTGGCCGTGCCGCCGCATTCCCGTCCAAGCAGGGCACAAAGGGGATTCTGCGCTGAGCGGGGGCCGCTGCTCCTGCCCGGGGAGCGGGAGCGGCCTCTGTTGTCTGCCGGTTACCGGGGCAGGGTGGGGGGTGGGATGCGGGCGGGGGGAAGCCCCGCCAGCGGAGGCGGCTGCTGGCGGTGACTAAGGCTCACGTGTGACGGGGAGCGGGGGAGCAGCAGCTCCAAGGCCTCTCGAACAGCTGAGGTGGGGCTGGAAACGGGAAATCGGTGTCTTTTTGGGGTGCCTGAGGCTGGGGCAGCCGATCCCGGTGGTGCTGGCTGTGCATCGCGGCGCTGCTCGGGGCGGGGCGTGTTTGCTGCGGGGCCAGCGCTTCGCGCGTGACCGGAGCATCGTAAAATGCGTGTGCGAGCCCCAAAATCTGGGAGAGCAGGGGCTGGAGGCGGGCGAGTGGCCGAGCAAAGCTGGGGGATGCTGAGCACTGCGGGGACAGGCCCGAGGCGGGGGTGACGGGCGCGGGGTCCCAGCCGCGGCTGCGGGAGGAGCGGCGCCGGCTCGGGGCTGCGGGGCCGCGTCTGGAGCCGGGCGAGGCGGAGCATCCCCCCGGGCCGGGGGGAGCGGGGCTGGGCCAGCCCCTGCGCCTGCCGCGCCATGGAGCGGAGCTGCGCCGGGCGGGAGCCGCAGCCCCGGCCCCAGCCCCAGCCCCTCGGTAAGGATCCGCGGCGGCGGCGGCGCCGGTACCGGCTCCGGGGGGTGCCCGGGTCCCCTCCCGCACCGCGGGGCCGCAGGGAGTCGGGGTGCGGGATGCGGCCGAGGGCTGCAGGATGCGGCCCGGGGGTGCGGGGTCTGCCGGGGGGTGCGGGATGCGGCCCGCCGTGCCGGCGGAGATGCGGCGGCCGGGTCCGCGGAATGCGGCGGAGCGGAGCGGGGCGGCGGCCCGGGGAGGCGGTGGAAGAGCCGGGGGGGGGCGAGGGGGGGGAATGCACTGCCGGGGCCGGGGCGGCTTCCCGGGAGGGACAAAGCCCGGGCACGGCCCTTCCATCTTGGGGAGGGCCGGAGTGGCCCCGGCCCCGCCGCCGAGGGGGGTGCAGGGGGACTGCCCTTGGGAAGCCCCGGGGGTGGCGGCGCCGGCGCCGCCCCGGCTCGTCCCCGCCGGCCGGTGGGCGATGCCCCCTGTGGGAAGCACCCCCCGCCCGCCCGGCCGGTCCCGCTGCCCCGGGATGAACCGGGGAGGGCGGCGGCGGGGCCGCGCTCGGGGCCGGGGTTGGCGCTGCCTCTCGGGGCTCCAGCGCAGCGCTCGCTGTGACTAAGCAGAGCTCCGCGGAGCCGCTTCCCACCGCGGGAGGAAGAGGAGAGGTGGCTCCCCTCCCCCTCGGCCCCAGAGCTCCATCGCCCGGGCCCGCTGAGAGGGAGGGATGGCTGCGGCTCCGGCGATGCTGAAAACCGGTGGCTCCTGCACCAACCGGCCGCGGGTCCTGGCATCGCTGCCCGAAGGACGCGTCCTGCGCCAGACATGTTGTCTGAGTCCCGCTGTCTGCCTCCGCCGCTTCCCGCCCGCCGTGGCCTGCCCACTCGATGCTGTCGCGGCCCGGGGACCAGGGCTGGCTGCTCCCGGCCACCCTGCGGGTCATCGGCTGCTCTCCTGTGAGCACAGAATGGTGCTGAAGAGCACGGGCGGTTTTGCACCGTGTCCTCTTTCAGGGACCATCCCTGACCTGTCCCGTGTGGGTGACCTGCAGGACTGGGCAGCCCGGGCTGCTTCCTGTCTTGCTGCCCAGAGCGGGTCGGAGCCTCCAGCAGGGATGGGATTTCACTCAAGGGGCCAGGACCCACCATGTATGGGGCAGCAAGGGGCACTGGAGGCCAGAAACTCCTGAAAGGCGGCCAGGGCAGGGCGTGACCTGCGGAGCTGCGCAGGTGGGCAGAGGGATGAAGTGTACAGAGGGATGAGGACATTGCAGGGAGCAGGCAGAGGTTTGTCCTTATCCATGTTTCCCCCAGCTTCTCCAGCCCTTCTCCCTTAGCATGGAGGAGAGGGAGGGCGAGCTGGTTGCCCGCCAGTGCCTGTGTTTGGGAGCAGCAGCTCGGGAGTTCTCCCAGCGCGGGAGCTGGAAGAAACCGTCAGAGCAACGTGATGCGACGTGCAGAGTGGTGATGTGACAGTCCCGTGGTGCCATGTCCAAAATAGTTAGCACAGCTCTCGCTCCTTGGAGGGCTCTGAGCAGGGTCGGGCAGCCCCACAGGCAGCCTGCTGGGAACAGAGCTGGATCCTGCACGGCCCCAGCCCTGGCAGGTGCCACATCCGTGTTGTGAGGCACAGGACCTGTTTTTTGGGGCTACTGACGTGCTCCCCAAGGGGCTGGATGCTGGCAGGTACAGAGCCCCATGTCCTGCCTTCCAGCCAGGTTTCTGTTTCCCAGCATGATGCTAGCAGACAGGTTTTTGGG